AAGGACTTTGTTAAGTTTGACCTTTGATCTCCTCCCTAATATTGCTTGATGTTTCCTGTTGGCTTGCCTTTAAAAGGAGCTGTTTCTGTGTAATAAATCGGACCTCTTGTCTCCACGCTATTGAGTGTGCTGTCCTTTCTCAATCCTCACTCCCCAACTCAGGTACGTTCGTGTTGTGACGGCCGGACCGCCACAACCTAGGCCTCTCCGTGGCCCCAAGAGAGAAGGCCCACTGGCTGGCTGCTCACCTGGTTCCTGTAGCCCTTGTCAACGCCCAGCGTCTGGGTACAAAAGCGATGCCTCACGCCAAAATGGCGCATCAGGTAGGCCAGGTCGATGGTCCAGATGCTCCTGGTCAGCCGCAGCTCCCGCAAGGCGCTTTCAAACTCTCCGTCGTCCAGCTGGCCTAGGTACCTGTGGAGAGACAAGCCCAGGAGGTCAGCTTGCTCTTGAGGAGAGTTGGACCAGGTCGGCTTCTAGCCATGGGCCTGACAGCCACTGTCAGAGCCCCCATTTTTCAGAAGGCTCTGTCCTTCATGAAACTCTGCAGCTTGTCCACCAGCTGCCTGAGCACAAGCTGAGGGCACTGTCATGGCCTCAGAGTCAAGGGCTTAGGTTCCGCTTCTTATACTCTTGAGGGTTGTGTGATCTTGAGCAAACAGATGACCTCTTTCATGTCATCCGTAAGAGGAGCCCCTCGCATCATGTCAATGGTTTTCAAAGCTTTAGGCACCGAACACTGTTGTTGATTCCCATCTTCCCTGGAATTCTAGTGTGTCAAACATAAGGGAGAGGCTCATCAGAGATTCCAGAGAGCAGACTGAAAACTCTTCTAGAAGGCGATGGGCACAGTCCCTTCTAGTTCTGATGGTCAAGGCTCCTGTAAAATTCATGCAGACTCAGCCCAGCAGCCTCTCAGGAACTTGAGGTCAGGAGGCTGGAAGTTGCCCTATTCCAGCCACAGAGCTTCTCTGTGGGCCAGGCCTGTGCCCCTGGGATTTCCCTGCCCCACCCCACCCGCAGATCCCAGTCATTATCCGAGTAGAGAGCTGAGCGAAATAGTTCACCCTTCTTCACATTTGCAGATGGGATGGGACCCACGGAAGCCAGTCCTCTTGCAAGCCTCAGCCAAAGATGGCCACATGGACAATGAATCCCACCCAGGTCACTTCCGGTGTCTCCCCCAGGCCATGGCAGGTGATATGGATAGGGGAGGCCTGGGACCCCGGGCCCTGAGCCCACCCACTCACCGCAGTACCATCCTGGAGCAGGCGAGGCCACAGTCCCAGTGGTAGAGCTGCTGAATGACAGGCACAGGCAGCTGTACAAAGTCCCCTGCACAGAAACAGAGGGAAGACTCAACCCTCAGTACAGCACCGAAGACACCATCATCACTTCCTGCGTAGATCCTTCTGGGGCTCGGGGGCCTTCCCAGAGCCCTCATTCTCCTTACACCACCAGTGATCTCCCAAAAAACACCAGCCAGAGCAGGTCATCCAGTGGACTGGCTCCCCTACCTCTCAGGTCAACACCTTCATGGCTGCTGCCCCGGGACCTTCTGCTTTCTCACCACCCCCTAAGCAGAACATGCACCTGTCATGATCCCTCACACCCAGGGTCTCTGCATACCGGCTCGCTCTGCCTGGATGCTGCCGGCTCCAGCCCTTCCTTCCCTTCCCCGCTTGGGCCTGGCCCCCAGTAGGTATGCTCAAATACTCACGCCTCTCCCTTACAGCCCTTCCTTTAGCAGAAGCTCTGATGAGCCAGGGACAGGGGCCGTTTTGCTTCTTGCTCTTCTGCACATTCAGCAGGTCAAAGTTCACAGGTTCGCAGAGGTTTGCCTAATCCTAACTACCAGTGCGTGAAGGCCCCGGCTAGAAGGAGAAGCAGTCACACAAACTGTACATGTGGACTCTCCCTGGGAGCTCCATCACCACTGTCCCTGGGCAGCCTCCCAGTCTGGCCTAGCCAGGCTGAGAAGGGACACAGAAAGGACCTGCCCAGGAGTTCCAGTCCCAGCTCTGCCATTGGCTGGCTGTGAACTGGGCAAATGACTTCCTCTCACTGAATCTAGTGTGGCCATCCCTAAAGTGGAGACCTCTGATCTGATTTGATCATTGGACTGACAAATATTTTCCAAGTAAGTGCCTGGCACATGTATTGCAATGGAGTGCTGAATGAGATTCCCGTGCTGGTGGCAGCAAAAACCAGTAAATTACGAGATAACCAACAGCCTAGGCTAGGAAAATGGTGAAAGTGTGCCTCAGAGAGGTGAGCCCAGGAGCACAAGGCAGACAGGGAACGGCATGTGCTGAGGCCCTTGGGCCAGGGCAAGCCCATATATGGCCTGAAGGATCTTCCTCCTGCTACCCCAGGAATCTGGGCAAAGTTCAGAGTAAAAAAATCAGAAGCGAATTCTCTGTATTGGTCACCACTCCTGGACACTGTGACACCTCTTCAGCACATGAAAACCCAGCTGGCCCATGTTTCCCCATCTTAGGGGTTTCTGGGGCCTCTCACACAGTGCAACTGGCTCTGTACAGAACCAGCCCATAAGGCCACCTACCTCTGCCATGCCACAGCTCGGCAGCACGCACGAACCAGGAGAGACACTCAGCATCTGCGGAGCATGTGCTGGCCTTTCAGACCTGCTGCCTTTGTCCAAGGCTCAAGCTCCTACCCTCCTATATCAAACTTCCCCTGGTCTTCAGGGCCTGGCTCGGGATGTTCTCTGATCCTAGGCCGACCAGGCCCTACCCTCATGTATATTCCTCTGGGCCTAGTCTGTGCTTCAGCTCACAGGAGGAAACTTTGGCATGATGCATGTCTAATGTCCTGCTGAGAGGTTTATATGTTTCTAGGAGGCAGGGGTCGTGATTGCTCCTGGCTGCTCCTCACCTCCAAGGGTGTGCAGGTGGCCGATGGGAGGCAGGAAGGCATGGACAAGGCAGGCCACTGACTTCCCCGTGTCTGCTTCCTCCTCTATGAAATGTGCAGGGTGCCATCAGCACCCAGGACAACAGACACAAAGCCTTTTGCGCTGCTGATGTGAACTCTTCCCCCAGATGGGACCTAGTGTGCCGGGTCTAGGCAGAGCTGAGGCTTCATTACCTTCCTTTTACCCAGGCAACTCTACAAGAAACCCAGGTCCTTCATTCAAAGCCTCTGTGTATTTGCTTCCTACAACTGCCAAACATTTAGCCCTGTCTGACTCCTGCCTGTCCTCTGCCCCAAATTCTATCCTTCTTCTGTCTCTGCACACCAGCCAAAGGAATCTCATCCAGTTTCCCACTGCTCTTAGAATAAAGATCTCACTTCTTACCATGGCCTGCAGGTCCCTGCCCAACCTGAGCCCCAGACTTATCTCAGCTTTCATCTGTGTTCCAGTTACCCTGTGTACTCAAGCCTTCATCTACCCCAGGGCCTTTGCACGTATGGCATCTTCTGCCTGAAACTCCTCTTCCTTCTGCCATTCTTGCCATTCAAGTCCTAGCTTAAAATCTCTTTTGAGAATTTTTCCTGACTGTGCCCTTTGAGTAGTGAGGGAGCCTCCTTCCTGCTTAGCAGAAGTAATGGCAAAAGAGGACACCGACTCCCCCACTAGACTAGGACAGGTGCTATGGTTTGAACACATGTCCCCAAAATTCACGTTTAAATGTCATCCGCACTGTGGTGGTATTAAGAGGTGGAATTTTGGGGCAAAGTGATTCCATCTCGAGGGCTCTGCCCTTATGAATGGGTTTGTGCTTTACAAAAGGATCAAAAGGAACTAGCATAGGCCTTTTTTTCCCCATTCTAATATGCTATGTGAGGGCACAGCATTCTTTCCTTTTCCAGGACTCCCCACAGTGTGAGGATACCTCAACAGAGGTAGCCATGAAGAATGCCCCTTTACTAGACACTGAACCTGCCAGCACCTTGACCTTGGACTTCCAAGAATTGTGAAAAATTAAATTTCTATTGTTTATAAATTACTCAGCCTCAGGGATTTTGTTATAGCTGTACAAACAGACTAAGACAGCAAGGAACTTGTTCATATTATTTGCTCTTATTCCCAGTGTCTGGTGTCTGATGCTCAGTAGTAATTCAATGACTTATTAGAAGAAATGAACTTATTTTTTTGTTTTAAGATAAGGTCTTGCTTTACAGATCAGGCTAGCTCTGAACTGACGACGTAGCCCAGGCTGGCCTTGAACTTAGGGCGATCCTCCTGCCTCAGCCTCCCAAGTGCTGGGATGACAGGCATAAACCACCATGCCTGGCTCACAGCAGACATGCAGACATGACTGGTGAATAGTTTTCTAAAAAGGCCTTATCCCTTGAGATGCCTGAGCAGACTAGTCACTGCAGTGCCTCTTGCCCCAGGCTTCTGGGCTACAACCTTTTGTTGGAGGAGCTCTCCTTTCTCTGTGGCCTGGGCTCTAGCGCTGACTACCTGGGCCATCCTCTGCTGGGCTGTGACTCCATTCATGTCTTCCCTTACGCCCAGCTAAAAATGCGTACAGGACAGCTGCTCTCTAGGGCCTCAGGAGAAATGAGCTGCCTCTCGTCTTCTTGCCTCAAGCCCACATCCCCATGCGGCCACCCCAATCTTGGCTCGGGCAGGTCAACCCATGCGGAGACGTTCCTGTGGGAGGTGATAGCAGTAGGCGAGACCTTGGCGTTTGTCCTGAAGATAACAACTCTACCCTTCCAAGCCCCGATGTTTATGCCCCGAGCTAAGGGATCGCCCCACTAGAGAGCTAGTGTTTGCCTGAAGGCCCTGGCCTGGCCTCAGCTTTCAGCTGTCCACCACTTTCCCTGGACACTTAGCGCTCTCAGCCTTGGTCTGCTGCTATATATCACCAATAACCTACCTCACTGGGTTGTTATGAGATTTAATGAGGCTTGACATATAAACATTAGAGACCGGCACCTGCCCCACAGAAAATGTGAGCCATTACTCACTCCACCAAGGCTCAGGAAAGGAAAGTTCTTTGTCAAAGATCACAGAATCAGATAACTGGCGAAAAAGGGATGCTAATCCCAGTATAGCGCCAGTCCCTATTTCATGCTGCAATCACCAAAGAGACCACTCCCTGGGTGTGATGCCATGGTCCCCCTGACACCTTAGGTTCTAGGTCCCATGGGCTCTTCACCTCTCCCACGAGTTGGCACTGCACCTTACAGTTTACTAACATCAGCGCTGGGCCTCAGCACAGCAGGACTTTCCTCCTTCTCCCACTTCTTGGACAAGCAAACCGAGGCCCAAAACTCTGAAAGGCAGCGTTGGTCTCTGCTCCCAAGGAGCTCCAGCGTGACTTCCCCTCTTTGTCCACTGCTAGGGAGAAAGCACGGGGCTCTGTCTTTCTCAGAGCAGAAGGAACGAGAGGGTGAAGAACTTGTAGCAAGACTTGGCGCTGAGTCTGGGGAAAGGGCTCTCCCCCGACTGGGTGCTCGGCGTTTCCTCCCTTGCTTGGCCTCAGTGCCTTCACAGATCTCCTAAGGCGGCCCCAGGACTTCTCACTTAGGGAAGGCGGCGACCCTGCCACCCAGACCCTCCCTCGTGACCGCTGTCAGCACTGACTGGGGGCCCAGCCCCGGGAGTACCAGGAACCCACAAAAGAAGACAGGCTGGGGAAGGGAGGCGAGGCGGGAATGTCCACCTGGGCATGTTTCGCTCCACGCTCACAATCTGGGCTGCGGCGGCAGCCAGCCCAAGGTCGCGCGGCCGGACCCTGCCCTACGCTAGGGCGGAGTCCCACTGTCCCCGGGGTGAGGGCTGGGCCCTCACAGAGGCACTGACCAGGATCGAGCTGCGTCCCCGCTGCCTCCGCCTCCGTCCTCGCGAGGCGGGAATGTCCACCTGGGCATGTTTCGCTCCACGCTCACAATCTGGGCTGCGGCGGCAGCCAGCCCAAGGTCGCGCGGCCGGACCCTGCCCTACGCTAGGGCGGAGTCCCACTGTCCCCGGGGTGAGGGCTGGGCCCTCACAGAGGCACTGACCAGGATCGAGCTGCGTCCCCGCTGCCTCCGCCTCCGTCCTCCGTCCTC